CCCGACACTGGGCGGCCTCTTTGGCCAAGATCCGAAAAGGGTGGGCCTGGGTCCGTGGCCCGATGGCGGCTTTTCAAGCCACGATTTTGGCGGTAGGATGGCAGTTCCCCTCACCTTTCACTCTCATCGCGCCTTGCGGTGACGAGTGGCAGATGATGGAGGACGGACACGGCCCTCTAGGCCCTCTTCTTGAGGCTTTTGACGAATCGATTGACGCGCTTCGGTGGCGCCAGGCTTCTGAGCACTTGGATGGCGCTGGAATCCAGGCGCCTGTCTCTCTTCATCCTGTCTGGGACCTTGTTGCCTCCCTCGAGAAGGACGGGCGTCGGGACCTCGCGGCTATGATTCGGCTCTTGGTCTCTGGAGGCTACTGGGCTGAGGAGAGCAGGCACACTGCCCAGTTGGCTCCTGGTCCTATTTGTCGGCGCTGCCAGCGTGACCCCGAGACCTCCTGCCACAGGTTTTGGGGGTGCATGTGTAATGCTTCGTCGCAGGTCCAGGAGATTGTTGACTCTCAGCACCTTAGGCACGGCGCCCAGCAGGAGGCTTTCCAGTACCCGTGCGTCTGGATGCGAGGACTTATTCCCCTCTCTTGGTTCAACCTCCCTCCTGTTCCTGGTTCCAGGGACCTCCAGGGGCGGCGTTGTCCTGGGGCCTTGTCTCTAGGCTGTATGCCAGGAGGCCTCTACGCCACTGACGGCACGGGTGGTCAGTTTGCCAAGTTTCCCGTCCTCCGACGAGTTGCCTTTGCCTTTGTGCGGCTCCGTCCTAGCGATGACTTTGACTGGGATTGTGGAGTCACAGGCGTACTCGACTCGGTTCGACAGACGGTCCCCCGCGCAGAGCTTGCGGCCATAGTTGAGTGCCTTCGATGCGTTGACCCTGCCCAAGATCTGCGCGTGGTCACCGACCATGCCAATCTTGTCAATGGTTTCCTGGCTGGCCGAGCGGCCTGCGAGGCTGGCTAATTTTGATCTCTGGTGGGAATTCTGGCAGTTCCTCTCGGAGCGACCTGGTGACTTCCAGGTTTCTCATGTTCCCAGCCACCTGCTGGAAGATGCCCAAAAGCTCGCCCGTTTTGGCGACTCTGTAGACTGGGACCATGTTGTGCTCAACTCTGTCGCTGATGAGCTTGCTGACCTGCGTGCTCTTGAATGCCAGGTCCCTAATGGAGTTGTTCAGGCCAAATATGAGCTCGTCGCTAATGCTTGTGCTATCCCCAAGCGCAATGCCTCTATCATTCTCGAGTGTGCTGCCCTCGAGGCCGAGCCTGATCGCAGGCTGCGCAAGCAGCCCATTGATCATGTGCTCCGCAGGCGTCGGTTGATCGCAGCCGATGCGAGGGGTTCGTCGCACGTTTGGGAGTTCGGTTCTGGCGTTTGGACTTGTGGGATGTGCAAGGCTTCGATCTCCGATGTTGCCCCCTCGCTCCGCGCGAGGCTCCGCTCTGCTTGTCCTGCTTATGGAGGAGGTGGAGTTGGGAGTTCGGTTTCGGTGGAGGCGGAGGAGGTCACTGTCAAAAAGTGGGCGAGGCCAGGTCGGGCCCTGGCCGCCAGGGACGACTCCCTCTGGCGTCGCTTGAGGCTTGACCCGCTCCCTGAGCGAGCTGCGCCTTGGGTCGCTGGCAAGGCGGTCCACCCTTCACACGTTTTGTGGCAGAAAGGTGCGTTCACCTTTTGCGGCGAATGCGGCTCTTGGGCAATAGCTCGCCCTGACTCCCTGCGGGAGCCTTGTCCTGTGGCCGCGCTTGGACCGCATGCCATAACTAAGCACCAGTTCGAGGTTTCACAGCGGGTTTGCAAAGGCCTCCCGCCGTCTAAGACCTTCAAGAGCTGGGTGCCGTAATTCCTTTTCCCTGCCAGGCAACCCCTGCATCTCTTGCACTCTGGAGTTTGGTTGGCAGCGGCGCACTGCAAAAATCCGGATGGCATGCTGTGTGGCATTTTGAGCCAACGTGGACCAGGTTGCGCCAACTTGAAGGCCGTCGTAATGCGTCTGGGTGGCATATCGGAGCCACCTTCGCACCACAGCCTCCCAAGGATGCCCCCGAGCGGCCCTGATATTCATTGGCTGACGCCGCACCGCCGATCCCTTGGGGCGGCAGTAAGAGTGAAAAACTGAATTTCCAGAAAGATATCTGGAGAATCTTGGGGTTTCAGCTTCTTGGGATTTCGTCGGGGGCGGTTGGCGGATCGTGGCTCTGCTTTTGGGCTTCTCTGGGCTCTCCTGGCAGCACTTTTGAGGCCTCTTGGGGGCCGTTTTGAAGCCTCTAGGAGCCTCTTTTGGGCCTCTCGGGGGCCTCGTGGGAGCCTCTTGCTTATTGGCGCCTCCTCCGGTTTTTTCGGGGCCGAGTGCTCGAAATGTTCAGTCGGGTTCCCCCTCTGGGCCTCCTCTTGGGGCCGTCCTGGGGCCCTCCTAGGTCGTTTTGGAAGCTTCTGGGGCCGTCTTGGGGCCCTCTTGGGCCGTCTTGGAGCCCTCTTGGGGGCCTCTTGAGCTATCTTGGGTCGATCTTGACGGCTTTTTGGGCCGTTGTGGGCCTCGTGAAAGCCCAAGAGGCGAATTTGCTAAAATCATACGTTTTCCTGCGGCAATGGGACGATTTTAGCTTTTGGAGGGCCTCTTGGGACACCTCGTGGTGGCTTCTTGGGGCGTCTTGGACCGTCTGGAGGCATTCTTTGGCGTCTTGGAACGATCTTTCGGCGACTCGTAGCCCTCTTGGACCGTCCGGTGGCCCCTTCTTGGCCCGTTTTGGGGTTCCCTGAGGCTGCAAGGGTGCGGTGGACACCTTTGCCCCCCCCCTGGAACCGGCTGGACCGGGCTCCCAGGGAGGGGTTTGTGGAGGGGAAGCATCTCACACGCCGTGACCCCAAGGGGTCGGCGGATTTCAAAACATCAGGAGGAGGAGGAGGAGGAGGAGGAGGAGGAGGAGGAGGAGGAGGAGGAGGAGGAGGAGGAGGAGGAGGAGGAGGAGGAGGAGGAGGAGGAGGAGCGCGAGAGGGTCTCCTCATGTCTCTGGGAGCAGCAGCACAGCAGGACGAGCAAGTGGAAATGAGGAAGAATGGCGAGGAGGTAGAGGAGGTGCAGGAAGGTGGAGGGAGGATGTAGAGGAGGGAGGATGGAGGAGGGAGGAGGGAGGGCGTAAAGAAGGAGGAGAGAGGAAGGAGGTAGAGGAGGCGAAGGAGGAGCCAGGGCGTCAAGAGGGAGGAGGGAGGAGGGAGGAGGTAGAGGAGGTGGAGGAGGGAGGAGGGAGGAGGCGAAGGAGGAGCCAGGGCGTAAAGGAGGCTCGCGCCACGTCGACGCGGCGGCGATAGCGGTGCTGGCGACCAAGGTTGGAAGGCCGCCGCCGGCTCGAGGCAGGCCGGTCTTGACCGACTTCTGCTGTCTGTTCGCGGAGGCTGCCCATCGTCGAGCGATCTACGCGGTGCCAGGTGCCCAAGCCCGCGTCGGCACGACAGAAATCAGCCGTAGGGGAACAAC